TAAGAATACTCAAAATTCATAAGTCCAGCTAAGAATTGAACAAAAGCACTAAATGATTACAAAATATTCAGATTAATTTGTGACTTTTTTTTTTTACCTATTTCATGGTATATGTTTTAAATGAGCACAAATTCCAACCACAATGTGAAAATGAATATTTAAACACAATCAGTGGCCATAATCATCTTTTAAATCATACTGAAGTGTTGCATAATGGTCTTGTTTACATTTGTTTAATGTGGGGCTGAGAGATTGAGGGTGTGTAGGCGTGCTGTGGACTGTGTTGGTGATAATAGAGTGTGTAGGAGGGAGGGCAAACAAACACTTGTTTGCTGGGCTGTCCTGTAATATATCTTACTGATTTCCCACCACAACCAAAGATCTCCGCCTGTGCATCAAAAGAAAAGGACCTGAAATGATATTAATTAAAGGATGAGTCTGCTTATGTTTTATATTTTCATTGTCAAGAAGACAAGACAAGGACAAGAAGTTGACAAGTAGCTTCTGTGTGAAAAAAGCCTGATATATATACAGTTATTCCTCTGTGTCATAGAGCTCCATTGTTGACCAATAACTATTAAAAACACAACAATACTGCATAGTGTTAGGTGGCATGTTTCTTTATTATGACGAATATGTGCACTGCAGTTTATTTTGAGTACTGATGCTTGAAATACTCACTACTACTGTAGCAGGCCAAATTGTGTATTAATCCACAGCTGAAAATAGTCCCCAACAAATGCACCATTTTCTCCTATTAGAATAAAGTTTGCTAAAGACAACAGTGCCCGATGTTTTAAAGAATAATTTCGGCTTTTTTTTTTTTTTTTAAATGCAAGTATAAATTAAAAACTCTTGTTTTTTAAAAGATTTTCAGTAGGAACCAATGGGCACTGGGCTTAGTATCACACAGCCCGGGAAAGACGGAAATTATCAGGAAACGGACTAACACATTGTTGGTTTTGGTCTATTTAAAATTGGATTTGTTGACAGAAAATTATAATATAGGAAACTGAGCCCATAATTGGGAAATGGAAAAGACTACAGTTATAAAATTACTTTTAAATATGTCTTCATACATCAGGAACCTTTAAATGCAGGACAGAAATAAGACTGACAAACTCTATACTCTCTATTATCATTTTTTTCCTGAAGGTTTCTGGAAATTTTGCCACTGATTGGAAGTGGCACTATGATTAGTGCCCAAAGTTGCAATTTTGGAAAGGCCACGCCCCTCATACTGTTAGTCCAACTGACTAAGGCCTAGTCCACACGGACCCGTGTACTTCTGAAACTGTGTATTGTTCTATGCGATTTGGCTGTTTGGCCACACGCAACCGCACTTTTGGGCCCCCGAAACCACATTTCTTTGAAACCGGAGTCCAGGGTGAAGTTTTTGGAAGACTCCGGTGCCAGCGGTTGCGTGTAGATAGGATAACCGCAGTATTTTATTACCTGTCTCCATTGTTTGACGCCAGAGTGATGGTAAATAGCTAGTGAAATGGCAGACCAAACAAACATGCTGGTGCTAACTTTATTTGTGAACGTGCTATCTGCTCTCTGGATGGCATATCCAGCTGCTTGACCTAACGACCAACGAAGGAGGCTGTTCTTGTTGCTAGCTACCCCAACTACACTACCACGAAAGCAGCGACGGGCCTGCCAACGGAGGTTCTGGTCGGACCTCCGTTGGCAGGCCCGTCGCTGCTTTCGTGGTAGTATAGTTGGTAGTTCAGGCGCCTCTGCTGTTGAATTAGGTCGCGCTATTTTTGTGAATCGGGTTGTTTTTATTTTCCGCACTTCTCTATTCCGGTATTGACTCTGACATCTGATTGGTTAAAATGGCCTTTCCGTTAGAAGTTACATTGCCACCTACTGCTTTGGCATGTGTATTACATCACTTGGTAGCGGGTTTTGCGGTTTTGTGTGGATACCATATTTTTTTATCACATCACTCGTGTGGACCAATATTTTTTGGAAAAACTTCTGTTTCAGAAGTCCGTGTGGACTAGGCCTTGAATTCAAGACACAAGTCCAGGTCAATGTGTTCTACAAAAAAAATCCCTCAAGAACCTTAAGTTTTGCTTGACTAAAGTTTTCCTCCATTTTGAATTTTTAAAAAACACATTTTTGACATCTTCTCCTAAACCATAGGTCTGATGTGTGCCAAATTTTCTGTAGATCCACACTAGATGAAGCTCATCAAAAGCTATCAAAAACAACGCTATTGACGGCTAGATTCGAGACTTCCTCAGGATGCAAGCGTAAAGTAAATGGTCAGTTTTCCAAACTGTCAATAACACTCACGTATTGTACATGAATGTCTGCTGCAGCATGTATGACATCATCACATCTTGACATTTGTTGATGATACAGTCACAGTGAGCCTGCTACACAGAGAGGAAATTCCCCTTCTTTTAAACAACAGGTGTTTCTAGTAACGAATGTGTCAAAGACTATTGACACATGCACTGATTTTAGACATACTCACCCATCTCCTGACAGTACAGTAACTGATGGAGTGTAGAAAAAGTGGAGTCTTACAAATATTTGGAAACTACACTAGAGAGTAGTGACATGGCGTTAAAGAAAAGCCAGCAGCATCTCCTTTGTCTCAGGAAACTCTCTAAGTTCAGGTTGACAGAACCCTGACGACACTGTTTCATCGATCTTTCATTGAGTCTGTGCTCCCCTTCTCTATTATCTGCTGCTTTCAGTCTGTCAAGGTCAAACACCAAAATGCACTCAATAAGGTGCTCAGTGTCTGCAGCAAAATAACTGGGACTGCACATGAAGCTGTACGGGGTCTTTACAGCAAATGTTATGTTATATAAGAAAGCACAATCCACCGGGTCTGACTGTTCCTTTCCTCTACATCAACTACTTTAATGTCTGCCTCTGCCACCTCCCTCCTGAACTTGAGGAGGACACAGCCCTGTCGCCTGAGGAAAATGTTGGTATTTCTGCTAACCATGACTATGTTACATATGCATGTTTCATACATCAGTTCTAAAGTGGCCCAGTGCATGATCTGACTTTGTCATCAGGAGGTGGAGGGGATGGGTGCAGGCATGTCACCCTGCAGACCACTGATTGAGACCAACAAACAACAAAGCTGGTTGTGTTTTAACAAGTCGTTCTTATTCCGGCTGATTTTAGCCACCAAACATGATTGATTTATAAAGACTTGAACAGGTCGATTTCCGCTGACTTATATGACCAGCCTGAAAACAACTTATATTACCACTGTATTAAAGTTTCCTATTTTCTTTATTTTGACACCTCTTTTTCTTACTGCCCGTCCTTTACCTCACTTCCTTCGCTCCCCTTTCCTCAGCACTGATTGGTTCCTTTCACTCTTTGTTCACTCCTGATTGAGTTCACCTGTACACCATTTCACTCGTTCTTCCTCCGTTGTCACATGGGGCAGCAGTGCAGGTAAGCAGTTTCTTTCTCTTTAGTTTATCCTGTATGTTATTACGTTAGTTTAACTAAGAGCATTATTTACCCTTATTTAAATGGACATTTGTTAGGTTTGACTGAAGTTCTAATTTTTCTGTTTCTTTCAGATTCAAACCCAAACCTAGGCTAAATTGTTAAGAGAAGTTAGCTTGACTTCAGTACGCAAACTCTGGCCTCCTGGGTGAAAGTTCTGTGTTTGTTTGACCCATCCACCACCCTTTCCTCCTACCCTACAGAAATTTTAGATATTTGTGCAACATTAAGTGAACTTTGTCACTTTCTATGATACGTAATGTCACTTCCTCTGCTTCTGTAATAATTACTACAGCCACTAGGAGGCACTTCCTTACAATAAACATAAGAACTGGTCATAATAAGCTGCCTGCACAGTTGAACTGCATGGTTGTTTTTCTGGTGAGAGCAGGCTGTGTTTTTCCAGCGGGGATTGTGCCCAAGCTAAAATATGATATTTTCCTAACTGTGACCAAGTAGTTTTTGTGCCTCGTCCTGACCACACCTCAACCACAGCCTTGTTGAAATGTAGTTTTAATGTATCTGCTACAGTAATAACGTACAAAAGTAACATATATGTGGTTTGCAGAAACTTAGACCAACATTTTTCTAGTGATTGCGGTCTGTGGGAACAGTAGCACGTGGTTTAATTTTTTTTTTTTTTTTTTTTTTTGTTTTTTAAACTTGAGTATTTTACTGAGTATTTATGTTTGGCTTTTATGTTGGTCTTAGTGTTTAATTCAGTGCCTTGTGTTTTATGTATGCTAAATGTAGTCATCCCACTGCTGCGTAACCAATTGCCCCATGATGACAAATAAGGTGCTAATTCATTGATACTCTCCTTTTATAATCTCAGAACCATCACTTGAATTGCACCAAAACTGAAAACTGTAGAAAAGGTTTCCTAACTGAATGATAAAGAATAAGTTATCAAATAAGTGCCAGATTATGGGATTCAAGTCATTAATTTACTATGTTCACACATTTTGTGTGTGTAATTGACACAGTTTAAGAAACTAGGTGAAAAAAAGCACTGCCATTACTTCACCTATTAAATCTAATTCAGTCCTGAATGGGAACACAGCTAATGGAGAGGAGACACACTTAAGTGATTCTTGTCTTAGTTTTTTTTTATCCACTCAGAGTAGAGAAAACTTTTTACAGTGTTGTCCTCAGACTGCCCCAAGCGCCACACTGTTCACACCACGACTGTGTCGCAGGGTGAAGAATTACGCCTCCTCCCCTTGTCTAGTGTCAAACAATAAACTTCCTGATCAGAACATCTCACCCACTGAGAAGTGATGTCCTCCTACATGTTAAATCTTCTGTTGTACTATTTGTTGGTCTTGTTTGTTGAAAGCAAAACACAAATTGCTTTCAAAAATGACACACAATTATGAGAAATTTGGCCCCGTATTACCGCCATGAATCATGTAATAAACTCCACTTACAAAGGCCATATTTTTATAAATAAAAATACGAATCGTCTGCAGATAAGGACCCTACAAACAACACAATTAAAATGCTTCCAAATATAGTAAATTTTATTTTTTTCATGAAAAACAAATCAGTTATAATGACCCAACCCACTTCTCATTACACAATTTTCCACATGCATATTTCAAAAAGAGTAATTTGTCAGCATGTTTGCCATATTGCAGCTTTTATTAGGAGATGGGTGAATGGTCGGCATGAGTATCAAAACAAAAATACATTCTTCAGGTTCTTTTCTTCTGTTTAAAACATGCTGTACAACTCCAAAAACAAATGTATCAAATATTTTCATCTGTGTAACTGCACACATCACGTGCACCATGCATCGTCAGATATTTATATGTGACTGAAAGGACAAACAGACTTGGCTGGCACCATTTGATGAAGCATTTCTTTGATATATCATATAAAACACAGTAATATTACTTTGGCGTTATTTGTGGCATAAGGCAAACTTTATATTCATAGTTTATTTAGTAAGGGTCAAACTGCTGTATATAAATCCCTCTTCATGTTGCATGTCATAATAAACAGTAAGATTTTTGTACAGCGATGAAAATATAGACTATGACTGTACACAAGATGAGAAAAATTGTCACTCACTTCACCTTCATGAGTCACTTCAGTCCAAGAAGCTGTACTGGGGTCCTGACTGTGCACCAGAAGAGATCAAGACAATGACAATGGTGCCATCTAGAGGCAGAACTGAAGTATTTCATCAACGCAGCCCTTGAGCTTATGTCTTTATGTCACGACAACATTGTCCTGAGGTGGTTGTTCTTCTCAGAGCATTAGGTCCTTTTAACATACCAGGTCCTATTAGACGTCCTCGTCACTGTAAATGAAGACGTAGTAGAAGAGAGCGCTGATGACCAGCAGAGCGACTGACAGCAGCATGTTTTTGCGATTCTCTCCTCTTAACGTCTCCAGCTCCTTGTCTAGAAATGACAAACAAGATTAAAGTGAAGGCACTAATGTATGGCAGCCATTATTTTCCCTTAAATATGAAACCTTTTGAGGGAACAAAACCTGCAGTTGCTCTGATGGTGACGTACTGTAGTGATGACAGACTAAAATCAGATCAGAATCAACTTTAATCAGCAAGTACGTGTGCATTAACGAGGAATTTGACTACATTTTTTTTCTGTTTCATGTCTCTTAAAGTACATATACAGGATTGGCATGCAGTTAAACCAAGGACAATAAAGCTGGATAGGGTAAACATAAACATTTAACTATTAAGTACAGATATAAATATCTATATACAAAGGTACATGTACACACACCAATCAGCCACAACATTAAAACCAAAGAAACATTGGGTCCTAGCATTCATGTGGATGCCACTTGACTCACTCCATCCACCAAAATACTGCTGCAGACCAAGAAGGACTTAGGAACACGACAAAGAGCTCAAGGTGCCGACCCAGCCTCTAAATTCCCCTGATCCCAATCTGATTGAGCATCCGTGGGACGTGTTGGTACCCCACCTCACAACCCACAGGACTCAAAGTATCTGCCACCACTGTCATGGTGCGAGACAGGACACCCCTGAAGGTCCTGTGTCCATACCTTGACAAGTCAGCCCGAACGTGACTGGGAGTACCTCCTGAGGTACCAGCACGTCCCACAAATGCTTTCTCAGATTGGGATCTGGGGAATTTTGAGGTGAGGTTGACGTATTGAGCTGTTTGTCCCAGGACCCAAGGCTTCCCAGCAGAATATTGCATTGTGACAAGATTCACTTCACCCACCAGTGGTTTTAATGTTTTGGCTGATCAGTGTATATATGTGTGTAAGTGTGTGTGAAAACAACACCACCACAATGAGTTGGTTAACAAACTAACAAGTGCAAATGGTACTAGAACACATACAGTACACATACACAATATAAATGTAAGAGGTTGCTTATATGAGGTAGGTTGATGTGACAGTGTATGCAGCTTGCTTCAATTATGTTTGACAGCAATTTACATGTTTACAGTGTGTGTTTAAACTATTAAAATATATAATTTACTGGTGAAATGGTTGCTTGATTTTACAGTGTTATTACACAGGGATTGTTCCTGACACTATGGATTAGTGTTAAGTGTTCATCACAGTGACAGCCTGTGGGAAAGAAATGTACAGTAATAGACTATAATAACATTGAATGTTACATTAAAGGGTTGCCATCATTGTTCTGATGGAAACTCTGTAGCTTAGTCCCTACAACAGTTCTTCCTGTTTATCTAAACTGTACGTATGTGGAAATATAAATGATAAATAGACTTGGTAGGACAGAATGCTTTATAATAAATTACATTCTTGTATATACCTACAGTGATGTGGACAGTATGGTATGGTGGATATAGACTTACCTAACTTTTGCACCCTCTCATTTATGATTGTCATTTCATCTTCCAGCTCCTGTCTGTAGAGCAGAGAGGAGAGACAGCACCACACATATAGGTTTCACTCTCAGGACAAGCCGCAAAGTTAGTAAGGTGTTTACTCGTGTGGGGTTTTATCTTTGAAAGTCTTTTTAGCCACCACTATCATCATCATCATCATCCTCATCCTTACCTGTCCTTGTCAGACAGCTTCTCCTTCCTGCTCCTGAACTCAGCCCTCTCCAGGTTGTCTTGGCAACGCGCCCGCCGCTCCTCCAAACGGTCAATCTACAATAGTTACAGGTGAGACATGACAGCAGGTAAAGGTAAGAGTGGGCAACATTAACCGAGATAGTCACCAGACATGACTGTGAATGAATGAATGAATGAAATCTGTAAGTGAGTTCAGATTAAGCATGCTAAAGAGCTAACCCGCTAGCCAGCTAACGTTAGCTAATTTAGCTACAGACAGTGACACATCTTACCTCAGTGGCGACGCTGATTTTCTCTCGTCTTTTGTCTTTTAATTTAGCCATTATGTGACAGGTCCTGCTTCAAACAGCCTAGCTGATAAACTGTGACTATGCGGAAGTGTTTCCCCCCTCCCTAGTCGTTCTTCTTCGTTTACTTCATTTGCTTTTGCGCATCGCTTCTCTTGAGGCGTTGCTGCCCTCTGTCGTGTAACGTTAGCAATACACGCTCAATTAGTTGTGTCATTCTCATAGACTGTAAAGGGATGGGGACCTGTTTGGCATACACATTATATACTCGCAATATTTTTCCATTAATTCGCCCTACAAGTTTTTCTGTAAGGAGTAGAAGTTTGAGCCATTTTGCCGAGCCACCATGACAACCGTTAAGCTAGCAACTTTTTAGCTAGCTAGCTAGCAACGATGTGACGTTCACTGTCACGGTGAAGCAGCCGTTTAAACAGTTAACGCCCACCCTCCACCTCTCTTTTATACTTACTAGGTGCCGACAACATACTGATTACGTATGTATTTATTTAATTAAGTGTTTATTGATTATTTTAATTTCAATATGAGCTTGTCCCTATTGATTTAACCAAGTTTAAAGTCTGTTTAAGTAAATAAACATGACGTCACTAAACTGTTAATGGTGCATCAGACCTCTGCTTAATTTGAAATATGGATTTACTCATTTTAAACCTTGTTTTACTAAAGTCTGATTAGAGTTATTATAAATTAAACCCTGCTTGTATTTCGCCCTCAGAAGCTACAAAAGTGATCATACTATCATTATATATGAAGACACTGCCATGTGAATAGCCTGCCCCCCCCTCCCCTCTGAGAAGCAGTCAGGTGAGCAGAGTTGACAGAGTTGTTGTTGACCGTTAATCGGATTATATGACCTGAGAGGACACGACTAGATCAGCTGTGAGGGAAAGAAAGGGACGAGGCTGTCCATTCTCACCTCTGCTAGTTTACTTTCTTTAATAAGGAAATAATGCCTCTCTTTATAAACCGTGACCAGATATTTGCACATCAGGTCCACCTGCTGGAGCACAAACTGAGGGTAAATCACTGTTGGTGGATGCTTAATGTCAGATTAGTTGACTTTTGGAGATTGTAGTTTAACGATGCATGTTTTCCAAATAACTCTACACTCAGATACAGCTTTTGAAACCCAGATTATTTGCTGTGTTTCACTGTGTTTTCAGAGTAAAGAGGAGCGAATACTGGAGCTGGAGACAGAGAATGCTATTCTTCATTTAAGACTTGCAGAGGTAAGAAGATTTCTGTCATTCATTACTTACAGGCTTAAACATAGACCCATTGGACTCTCTGTTCACACTATTGTGTTCTGCTATAGATGAATGTATTACCTTTCGTGCCAAGTGTGTGTGTGCATGTGTGTATGTTGTCGACACTTGGTTTAAATTCAACAGATTTTTACACCTCAGTGACTGCCTCAGGAGTTGGATCATATCTGTTAGTTCACTTGAAGGTGTATTATAGAGACCCACTTTGTATTTGATCAAGAGTGCTAGTTCAAGGGTCCTGATACTGTGCATGCTTGCTCACAGACTTGGCTTGTTGGGAAATATAAAGTAAACATCATTTGTATTGTTAAGTACTCCTGTCTTTTCCCCTGACAATCAAAATACAGATGAATGTACAAAAATGAATATAGCTGGATAACTTAAAACTCTTCCAGGTGTGCAGCCATATATTCACTTGCTGTGCAGCATTTAAGCATGACATACAAGTAGGAGAATATCTTATTTGCAGATTAAGTACGTTGGTGTCATATGTCTTTGTAGTGTCAGGGGAAACTCCGTCGGGACCATGATGAGGAATCCAAGGCCCTTGATGATCATCAGCACCAGAGGAGTGCACAGAAGATAACCCAATCAGCCCTCGCCAAACTGCTCTCTGAGGTCCAGGTAGGAATACACTGAAATTAAAGTGTGAGTTGTTATTATGGTCGTTTTGTTGAGGTGCATCCAAAGTCATGTAAAGCAACTCAGAAAAACACACACACACACACACACACAGAGCCGTACACCATTCATATGTCCTCTCTCTGTGTGTGTGGCAGGCTGTGAAGCAGGACTTGAGCGAACTTTTTGCAGTTTATCTGAGTTTTTCCACTGAGCTGGAGGAGCAGAGCAAACAGCTGCTGGAAAAAGTAGCGCAAGCCAGCTCTTCTCTAAACGGCCACCATGGAGACGAGATCCAGAGTAAGTATGCAAGTGTGTGGCACCATAAGTTAACATATATGCAGCGTCTTTGACATCATCTTCAGGATATGGTTCTTAAGATATGTCTTCAGGCTGGGATTTTGGTGTACTGTTCGGCACCATCTTGGTAATTGTTTAGAGTTAGAAAAACCAAATTTGGACATGATGTGGTAGTTTCTAATTTAAAGGGTCAAAATATTGGATCAGTGCTGGGCATATATGTATAGTTAGTGGATTAATTGTAGTAGATTGTGGTCGACATGACCCCAGTTTAGAGAAGCCGGCAGGAGTACCACCATGGAAGCTAAGCAATTTACTGCTGTGGACAGGGGGCAGCAGCAAATCATATTTCAGCCATCTAAAGAAAACAATGGTTTAAGTGTACACTATGTTTGGAATATTTTCACTGCTTTACCTAGCCGTCAGCAGCTCTTTTTGACAGGAAACTGAACTGAAAGTCAAACTTACCTATGCTCTCTTCAAAGCCAGACTCCATTGATAAAAACAATATTTTACCTTCCTGAAGAGTTGATGGCCTAACGCTGCCTTGATTAGTTAGTTTGTGTTATTGTGTGGCTTTTGTGTTTAAAAAGGGTAGTTCGGATTCACTGAAGGCACACAATAACGCAAACAAAGTACCGTTCGAGGCAGCTGTAGATGAGCAGCTCCTTTGTTCAGTGAGCTAAAACCGCTGCTTTTGTCAATGGAGTCTGGTGGCTTTGAAAAACACAATATATTGGCTTCAGTTCCCCGTTGCAAAGGGCTGTCTGACAGTAAGGTTGAGTGGTAAAAATAGTCTAAATGTACTTCCACTTGAACTGTTTGAGTTTTTTTAGGTGACTGGATAAGTACCTCATACAACCCCACTTCAGAAAATCCAAACTGTCCCTTTAAAAGGACACTGTGGCATTGCATAAGTTAGGATGTTCTGTTCTGATCACACTTGACTGTGGAGAGTCTACTGGACTCTGTACACCTGTATTGTTTGGGACTGATGCGGTCTTAAAATTCAAATAACAATCAGCCAATATTACTTATGTATGTCTATTTACATGCTCCACATGCACACATTTTAAGAATCCTATGTAACTTTTCATAGCAGGGTAGTAATTTTATTAAAGTTTTCTTAGTGCCGCTTTCCAGTGGTCTGCACAGCAGGTGTTACAATAAACAATAACTTATTATCCTTAATAGATTCTGCACCAGCATCTGCTCATCTTAATATGCTACTCAGTCTACTCAGCTGCTGCCAAGTATTGTAAACCACAGAGGAGCTTTTCAAATTGTCAAAAGTTATTGATGGATAGATATTTTAAAAATTTGCTGCCTCTGGTTTCACATTTTCTACCTCTCAGTTTTATGAACTTTTCCATCCTGCTCACTCATTCACCCTCTCTGTGTCTCTCCATTCTAAAGTGGTTTACAGGTTATGTGCTGGCTGTGTCTTGATTAGTGTGTGTTTGCTGGTAATCCTCTCACGCTGTCCCTCCCCTCTTCTCCCTCACCCCGCCCTTCGAGGTTGTCCAAGGTTGAGTGTCTTGTTCTAATGTAGTCTCACAAGTCAGCTTGTTAGTGTTGGCTCTCATGATTGGTGGTGACTGATTTTCCTGAGCATGTGCTGGATATAATGCTGAAAAATGGCTTTTCTTGACCTTTTATTGTTATTGTTCACTTAATACAAAATATTCTCTTTCCTGTTAGCATCAGATCTTTACGGTTGTAATTTAAACGACTAGGACATTTGTCTTAATTACATTTATGTTGCATTTAATTAGCTACTTTGATCATAATTGAATTTTATATTGTATGTAAATTGGTTTTAACTTCATATTTCCTACATGTGCTCTGGAGCACTTTGTGATTTACAGAGCTGTGCTGGCTGTGTGGTTGGTGGTCAACCATCTGTCAGGCTATTAAAGTGAAAATCTGTCCCAAATTAGATTTAATATGCATCATTACAAAGCGTTTGCAAAGTCGGTTAATATCTCATTAGTGGAATCATCGCATCAACCCCAGATAAAGAGATTGATTCTGAAGCTGTTTTTTTTTTTTTTTTTTTTTTGTAACTACATGATTGGGAATGTTTTTTTTATAACTCTTTTCATTCAGATTTTCCCAAGAATCAATCTTACAAACTATAATGTAACATAACATTATGAGACTGGTCCAAAAAAAGGAGGATTGCATTGCATTTACATGAGTTGAGCTTATTAATTATTGTGTACATCAGTCCGATTCATTCCACTGTCCCATTTCAGTCATCTATCCAATTTTTACCTATGCATATTATATTTAAGTCCAAGTGATTCCAAGTGATTCCAATGGTTCCTTCCACTTCTGCAGAAAAAAATGAGACCTTCTATCAATATAATGTCCTATTTTTCCAGAGTCACACCTCAGAGAGCAAGGTTTTCCACATATATACAGAATTAAGGTTGTCCCCAACCCATTTCACCATGATGGCTTTCCTCGCCAGCATTAAAAGCGATTGAACCACTTCCTTATTTTGTTTAAGAGAGTCAGAGACATGAAAAGTGGATTTGCTGATGCCTGTTGACCTATTGCTGTACTGATGTTTGTGCATACTGTCCTCTAGAATAACTGCAGATTGGGAAAGTTTCACCTTGGGTGCAGCAACAGCACCCAGAACCTTTTTTAAGCCTTTGCGCTGGCAACAGCTGTGACCAAAAGCATTTCGATCCAATTTGTGAAAGCGATATCCTAGGAAGGCCTTGAGGGAATATCTTCAAATTTGGCACAAACGTCCACTTGGACTCAATAATGAACTGGTTAGATTTTACTAGTCAGAGGTCACTGTGACTAGAAAATTTCATACAACTGTCGAACAGGATAAATGATAAAGTGATGACATTTTATATCCAAAAGGTCAAAGGCCACATTCACTTTGACATCATAATGTTCTGCAAGAACATACATCTTATTTCAGGAACAGGGGAAATACTGAACTGATGACACTAATCTTGAGTGTCCAGCTTGAAACTGTGTTGATTGTATAGATCGTCTGTGCTGCCAGTTTGAAGATGTGCATGACCCATCCATGTTTTAGATTTTGTAACTTTTTACGCAGCAATATTCACATTATATTGTCTGCTGTCATGGCTGTAACTTTGTGCTCTCTCCAGTTCCTCTGGCAGTTCAACGCAAGCACTTTGGGTGTGCTGATACCGACTTTAAGGTGATTGTTGTTGCACCATGTAATAACGCTCTCAATAAGTCTTCTGTAAAAAATAGTCTCCTCATGAAGACACGTTATATATTGATTGATTTTTTTTATTTTATGTCATGCACACTTACATGTGCCCGACCCTAATGGGTTTACAAGACACCATTACATTGCAGTAACAATCCAAAGTACATGTTATATTATTTATTTTTATTTAGACGGGAAAGAAGTCTAAAGACATCAAAACTACAGCGACACTTGTATAGAACAACCAACGTGTGGATGACCCTGATGAAGGCCAGGAGAAATGTGATGGTCTTACAATAAGTATGCCGAAAAAATAAACCAATAAATAAATTACAGGTTGACATTTTACATCGAAAGAAGATATTTTAGCTGTTTTGTTGCCGGTATATGGAATTTTTGAGTGTGCTCTTTAAACCTATAGAAATAAAACCTCCCACAGTAGTCAGTTCTATTTATGTCTAACCAAGGCTATTCTTGAATGTCACTCTGTGCTGAGTGAATGGAGGTGTGTGGTGCCAGGTGTGCTCCAGGATTACAGACTTGGCCTGAATTCAAAGATTTACACTGGAGAACAGATGCTTCTGGCTTTGGAGTTGATTCTTACACAAACAGCCATTCATTCACTTAACAGCTTTCTACTTAGCTTGAGCTACATGTTTGTTTATCTAAGGCAGTGCAGAGGCTGGTGGAGGCGTTTCAGTGTTCCTCTTTTTGATTTTGAGTGTACTGACCCTTTAACTATCTATCTGTTCTTCCTGTGCAGACTTACAAGCTGGTGTCGCAGCTCTGGAGCGCTCTCTGGAGGAGGAGAGGGAGAGGTGCAGGGCCGAGAGGCAGAGGAGGAAGGAGCTCCATAATGCACTGGTGGTGAGGACACATGTTTAGAGTCCAAAGATAATGCGTCAGACTGTAGGCTCTGATTCTGACCTTCTACTGTCTTTGTTTTGCTTCAGGAGCTAAGGGGGAACATCAGGGTTCACTGCAGAGTGCGACCAGTTCTACCCTTCGACCACGTCCAGTCCTCCACCTCTGGGTCAAAGTTGGTGAACTCATGATTCATCAGAACAATATAGACTAATGCATGATAGCTGAGATGATTTTTTATGTGTGTGAAAAGCTAAAAATGATCCAATTCTTTTCTCTGTCAGGCCTGCATCATCAGAAGAAGTGGTGTCTGTGATCAGTGATGTGAGTTTCACACAATCTTAGAATTTATTCTATTTTGTAGCTGCTTCAGCGTCCTCACTTGTTCATGTTATCGTTTGTTCAAAGGACACGGTGACGGTGAATTGCATAAGATCGGGGATGCCAGTGCAAAACAAGATGTTTGAGTTTGAGAGGTAAAATCAAACACTATCCTGATACAATGTGTTTTACTCCATTTAAGTTTCTACCTATTAATGATTGCTCTTTGTTTCCTCCAGAGTGCATGGACCAGAGGATTCACAGGATGCAGTGTTTGAGGAGGTCAAGCCGCTCCTCACGTCTCTGCTGGACGGGTGAGTGTGAAAAAGCACACAAAATATACACTATATCAAATCATCATCATGTGTTCAGTCAGCTACACTCATTAGACACTACCCTGCGTGAATGAAGCACAAACAATGAAATACACGACAAACAGCATGTTGTGACTGCATGGCTTCAGCTTGTATAGGATGTCATTCTCCTCCCTGCCCTGCAGCTATAATGTGTGTATCATGGCGTACGGGCAGACAGGCAGTGGGAAGACTTACACCATGATGGGATCCCAGCAGCTGGAGGAGCACTCAGGGACGCAGCAGGAGACACAGCAGGGTGTTATTCCCAAGGCTGCAGCTGAGCTCTTTCGGTGAGAAAAAAAGGGCATTTTTAATTTGTTTGTTTTTGTGATATTTACAGTGTGTGGTGACTGCGAGAAAAGTGTGTTTATGATGTGCTGAAAACAGCAGTAGATCTGGTGTAATGTACTATATTATAATTCAGTCCTGAAATCCATCAGAAGTGAAAAAAATTCAGTCTATAAATGTATAATGTGCGCTGAGAGCTGAGATAGAATATAATTTGGTTAACCTTTTCGTTTTTCTGTGTGTCCATGCTTGTGTATCTGTTCCTGTGTGTGTGTGACCCAGGCTGATCTCTGAGAAGCCTGCAGAGACCCACACGGTGGAGGTGTCAGTGATGGAGGTGTACAACAACGAGGTGCTCGACCTTCTGGCCAGAGACGCGCAGGGCAATGCCGCCGACCAGCGGCGGGACGTCATCACTACCTCCTCTGGTACCAGCCAGGTCATCTCCCTCACACAGGAGTGAGTATAGTCGGAGCAGAGGTCACTGTGTGTCGAAAGCTTTTATACTCTGTTATGAAGGGTCTGTGATATGAGACTTAGCTGCTAGATGACATAGTTTTTTGGAGTAGCATTTCTTTTTAAAATCCACTAATCAATAATTCTTTTATGGTTAAAATGTGTCAAATGATGTCCAATGGGAAATGAGTTGCTTGTAGTGATGAACCCACAGAGAGTTAAGTTCTCAGATGTTAGCTGGCGACATAAACACAGCTAAAAGAGAGGGAGTTTAGGATGTCCTAATTTTCTTCAAGTGGCCAGAAACACAACTCCATCTGAATGTTACTGTTGCTCCATATCTGCTGGATGTGTGAATATACAACTTTTTTTTTAAGTTATTTTCCATAGAAACTCTATAAGTAAATCCTCAGTACCCAAGTGGACCAGAAAATGTTATTTCATCCTTAAACTTAATTTCAAGTTTTACTCGGGGCAGCTGAGACAAGCTGTAAACACAACAGCAACTAGCAAGGGACAGTTCACCCCAAACTCAAAAACACATATTTCCTTTTATGCAAGTAGTGCTTTTTATTAATATAGATTGTTTTGGTGTGAGTCACTAAGTATTGGAGATATCATCCGTAGAGATGTCTGCCTTCTCGTGAATGTAATGGAACTAGATGGCACTCAGCTTGTGGTGCTCAAAGTGCCAAAAAAATACATTTAAAAACTCAACAGCAATGTCTCTTTCCAGAAATCATGACCTGGTTACTCAAGATAATCCACAGACCTTGTTGTGAGCAGTTTCATGTAGGAACTATTTTCTACCAAACTACAACTACCAACCGTATCATCATGCAGAAGGAAGTGTGCATCTACTCATGGACGAGAGGCTTGTGCGTTTGACAGCGTGAAATGTAAACATTAATGCCGTCCTCCTCAGTTGAGCTAGCTTTAGCTCAGTGGTGCTAGGTGAGCTAGCAGTAGATGCACACTTCCTTCTGCGCAGTGATACAGTTGGTAGTTGTAGTTTGGTAGAAAGAAAATAGTTTCTACATGAAACTACTCACAACAAGTGAGAATTATCTTGAGTAACCAGCTCATGATTTCTGGAAAGAGACATTGCTGTTGAGTTTTTTAAATGTTGTTTTTTGGCACGTTGAGCACCACAAGCCGAGTGCCATCTAGTTCCATTATATTGGAGAGAAGGCAGTCATCTCTATTGCTGATATCTCCAACACTTGGCCACTCACACCAAAACAATCTAGATTGATAAATAGCACTACAGATAAGAAGAAAAATATGTATGTTTGATTTTGGGGTAAACTGTCCCTTTAAAGGTGATATGGCTTAAATTGCTTATTTACACATGCAGCAGATATGGAGCAACACTAGCATTCATTTAGAGTCGTGTTTCAGGCCATTTGATGAGGGGATGTGTCTGGCTCTTTAGCTGTAAAATGCAGGTAGTGTAGGGTGGGGTTTGTAGAGCTTTAACACTGACAGCGGCCGCCTGCTGTGGCTGACATTATGAGAGTGGTGAGAGTGAACCAAGTGTTAAAGTTTCTGGCAGTAAAACTGGAACAATAAGTTAAGGTGCTGCTCCCCACAGAGCAAGTTGGATGAAAATTTGCAGCGTGCTTATCACTATGAATTATATCTCTAACATGTGTAGTCATTTGATCCATTGGGAATATTATGAATATTGATTATAGCAGCTTTAAGGTATAAAATGTGAGGTAATGGTGTATGTGTTTCATATGTTTCACAGGCCTGTGAGTAACGCCTCTGAGGTGATGCAGATCATTAACAGTGTTCTGAAGCTCAGGGCTCACAGTCCCACCCTCATCCACGCTGACTCCTCACGCTCTCACCTCATTGTCACCCTCACCATTTCCTCTAAGAGCCCCAACGCGCTGGCTCTGGGTGAGATGCCGTCACACACACACTCACACTCACAGACCCACTCACGTTGGTCACACGCTCCTGCATTGTGACTTTATTGCCCTCTCTCATTCAGCTCGCAGGCTACAGAGTGCCAAGGAGGACATGCAGCGCTCCACTCAGAAGGAGTGGTGGAGCCCACGCTGTCGCCGTGCCAACCCCGCTGCCCGCCAATCATCTGATGATCGTCTCTTCGCGAGCACAGCCTCTTCTCCCTGCTCCCCTTCCCATTCTCCGTGTCCTTCCCCGAGGCCGAGCCTCTCACAAGCTCCGTTCAGGACCAAGCTGCAGCTGGTGGACTTGGCGGGGAGCGAGTGTGTCGGTGAGAGGGGCTCAGTGCTTGAGGATGCTCCTTGAATTTACAGATGTCATGGGAACACGGGTCCCTGAGTGTTTTGAGGAAACTGTAGCTGTATTAACATGCAATATAGCAAAATGGAGCTTTAAGCAACTCACTTATCTTGAGGGCAAAGAAATATGTGTGTTTGTGTGTGTGTGCCAGGTATGTCTGGAGTTTCGGGTGCAGCTCTGTGGGAGGTGTCCTGCATAAACCGCAGTCTCTCTGCTCTGTCTGATGTCCTGGGAGCTCTGGCCGAGCAGAGACCACACATCCCCTATAGGAACAGCAAACTCACTCATCTGCTACAGGATGCCATAGGTGAGACACACACACACGCACACACATGCTCCTTTATGACCTGGCTATGATTCATGCCTCCAGTGTCTGCTTCCCCTGGGAAAGATTCATTCAACCCCAAAATGTCCGCATCTAGCTGAGAGATTCCACACACCAACCCCAACTCTGACATACACACAAACATACCCAAACACTGAATCACTCAAAAAACTAAGATGTTCTGGTAAAGATATTTGTCCACGCCCAAAAATGACAAGAATAAAAGCACAATGTGTGTAATCTAATATTTCAGTTGTTCTGAAACATTTCCAGTCTAAACCCCCCTCCTGTCCTTCTCCATCTTCTCCACCAGGTGGCGATGCCAAGCTGCTGGTGATGCTGTGTGTCTCTCCCACGCAGCGCTTCATCTCAGAGTCTCTGCAGTCTCTGGGCTTTGGCACGCGGGCCCGTCAGGTCCAGAGGGAGCTTCCGCGAAGGAAGAATAACACCCCCAAAGTTAAGTGACGAGACAGAGAAAGAGATTTCATCCTTTTCCAGATGCCGTGGCAACATATGTTCTATCAGTCATGCCAACAGCAGATTTGAGGGTGTAAGATCCATACCTGCAAATTTGTTATTTTTATTTGATAGAGTCTGTGGGCACTACTTAGTTTTAGAAGGTACTTTAACATGGAAATAGATTGATTTGGTTAGAATTGCTCATATATGGTTTTTTTGGTGTGTGTGTGTGTGGAATAGATAGCTGTCTAAAGCTGCAAATACTTGTTCAATCTCAATTCCAAAAAAGTTGGGGCACTGTGTAAAACGTAAATAAAAACAGGAAGCAATGATGTGCAAATGCTTTTTGACATATTCAATTTAATACAGTGCAAAGACAAGATATTTAATGTTCAAACTGATAAACTTTTTTTTATGTTAATATACACTCAGTCTGACTTTGATGCCTGCAACACATTCCAAAAACGTTGGGACAGGGGCCTGTTTACCACTGTGTTACGTCATCTTTTCTTTTTAACAACACTCAGCAAGTGTTTAGGAACTGAGGACACTACTGAAGCTTTGAAAGTGAAATTCTTTCCCATTATTGCTTGATATACGACCTCAGATGTTCAACACTCCCGGGTGTCTGTTGTTGTATTTTACACTTCATAACGCGCCACACATGTTCAATAGGAGACTGGACTGGCCAGTCCAGTAACCTCACTCTGTTACTGTGAGGCCACGCTGTTGTTACGTACGGAATGTGGTTTGGCATTGCATTGCTGGAACAATCGGGGACATCTCTGAGAAAGATGTCATCTGGATGGCAGCATATGTTGCTCCTAAACCTCTATTTACCATTCAGCATTCATGGTGCCTTCACAGATGTGCAAGTTACCCATGATGCCACAGGCACTTACTCACTCCCATACCATCACAGATGCTGGCTTTGAACTTAGTGCTGGTAACAATCTGGATGTTCCTTTTCCTCTTTAACCAAGATGACATGCTGTCCATGATTTCCGAAAACAGTTGTGGACATATGGACTCATCAGACCACAGCACATTTTTTCACTTTGTGTCAGTTCATCTCAGACGAGCTCAGGCCCAAAGAAGTTGGTGTTGTTGATATATGAGTTTCACTTTGCATGGTAGAGTCTGAACTTGCAGTTGTAGATGCAGCAACAAACTGTGTTTACAGACAGTTGTTTTCCATTTTTTGGAACATATTGCAGGCATCAAATTCAGATGTGTGTAGTGTATATTTTACAAAAAAAACAATTAATTCAGTTGAATATAGGTTGAAAAATATTTGCAAATTTTACATAGAGTCCCAACTTTTTGGGGATTGGGGTTGTTTGATGCTATAATCTAAAGCCCAGTTCAGACTCAAGATTTGCAACATGATAGGTTGAAATTTGCAACTACTTGCAATGCGCTGTTCTGCAGCGTTCTAAAAAACCTGCCAGTTCACACCAATGCAACTAGATGAGATTGTGTATCATCTGTAAGCAACAACTCTCCGTACTTCTGTTTTCAGCTTTTCTTATTTTGTGGCTGAACATGATTTGTAGCTTCTTGAAATATGAATGAGGATAGTGATAGTGAGGTACTGGCTACAGCTGCATTTGTAGTAGTGATGAAACGGTGAAAAACAGAAACAAACGAGCATCCGATGGACTGTATTCATAATAAATACGCCACGGTGATGTATATAACCAGTGGCAATTAATCAGTCACTGAGAATGTGTGCAAGCAAGCAGCAGCAGCAGCAACCTAACACCTGACACCGGCACACCATGAGGACGTAAACAGAGGGCTCGGACCAGCTGACTTAACTACAAGCTGATTGGCTGTAGAAACAGGTGACGTGCTTTACGTTCTACAACCAGTCGCCTAAAACGGTTTCGTCTGGTCTTGAATCTTTTGATCTGAACTGGGCTTTAGACACATTATTAATGTGTGAAAAACCCCAATTACATGGTGATTATGAATGAAGATGGTATTATATGAAGGTGGAGTAATGGTAAATCAATTTAGTATAAAATATTTTTTTATATCCACCTCCATTAAGCATTAGATCATGCCAAAAGTCATCAGTCCTGTATCTGCAAAGGCTTCCTGACTGAAGTAGTCTTGCTGCTCATGCCTTCTCTCTTTTAGTGTTCAGGTGCAGTCATGTTTATGCAGTGTTTATACATGTTTTGATGTACTCTGTAAGCATCACCTGTCTTTGGTTACACATTACAAACCTTTGAAACGCCTTGATAGAGTAGCCTCTGTAGAAAACTGTGAATATGACTTTAAAATAAACAGATGGTGTGCAGATATCGTTGTGTATCAGTCTGTTCCTGACTAAATGCAGTGGAAAACTTGCTGTCATCAGGTAATTAAAACAGAGTTTGAATACATTGTGCAGTCAACTCTAAAAATAAACAATTTATTGCTCACAGCAGGCTATCTTTGTAAACTACTTCCACTGTGAGGGATTGTTCCTATAAGCTGTCTGCTGCTGTGTAGATTACAGCAGAGAGGAGCACATACAATCACGCTGTATTATATTTAGCTTTTGTTTTACAGTAAATTACAGGCAGGTGGAATATTCTGCATAAGCATAATTTAAGTAAGGAGCTATAAAAGTGATTGTTGAGTGTGGCAGAAGCCATCAGCATGATGCTAAAGAGCAGCAGCTGATGATAATTTGCAGAAGCTATTTCAGGTCTGTTGACGACAGCTTAATGTTGGAAGACAACAAATCAGGCAATTTCCTCCAAGGTGAAACATTTGGACATTTTCCAAGCATGAATAGAATAACACACTGTATCTGGTAATTAAATCTCCTTCAGCTCCCCTCAGACACACACACACACACACACACACACTCACTTTTAATAAGCCTCCTCCTACCAGCGTGCTGCAAACTGCGACGAGGGCTCTGCACAATGTGTTCAAGTTCTAATCCACGCGGTCCCAAAGCTGACATGTTTTTGAGGCGCAGATGTCATGTGCCGCCCTGACATGAAAGCTCAAATGCCCAAAGCGTCTTTGAAACTGCAGGCTTAGAGGATAAAGAGTGACAGGACAAAAAATAAGATTATAATGAGAGTGACAAGATAATAAACATGAAAACTCCAGGAGCTTCCTCTGTTTGTAGGGAGGCGACCGGGAAGAGAGAGACGGAAGAGAGGAGAGGTGAGAAGACGGGGAGAGGTGTAAAGAACCTGAGTGAAGAGGTATGAGTGAGAATGAGATGAGAGAGAAACAGGAACAAGAGGAGGTGAGAGGAAAGTGTGACAGTGCAGGAAACTGTAAACTTGTTATTTTAACCATTAACCTATCTGACAAACAGAATCTGAGACTTAAGTCAGGACATTTCTCCTCCACAGGTCCAGACATGGATCATTTAGGGAAAGCCCTGTCCTTCAGTCATGGATAAGTGAGTTAGCTTTATTTGATTGTTAGTGATTTGACTTCTTTGGGCCCTTCAAAGCTGGCTTCAAACATATCTGGAGCTCTTAATTTAGGTTGATCATGGCCAAGACATGTTAAAGTGAAACAGGCTGCATTGTAATCCCTACAGGCAATAGTGTTTGTTTTTGCCACTTAGAGGCTCACGTGTATAATCACTTTTATAATCTGAGAATATTACAGAGGGACTCTTCTAAAAAACTGAAATGTTTTTTCTTACCTTTCACTGGTCTGTTATTCTGACCAAGTCTCGCTTGAGAAGTCACAAGAGGTGACCTGTTGCAGGTAATACAACGGTGGAAATGTAAGCAGGAGTTGGAGAGAGGAGTGCCGGGAAGAGTTTGTCATGTCAGAATACAGAAAACATAGCTTAATGTTATCTAAGAGATTTTCAATGTCATGGCTGAATATTTAGCTGATTTCAACAATCTGGAGACGTCCCTGAGATTTTAGAATGAGACTTCTCCTCGAGCAAGACAAACATTTCAGGAAAAAAGGTCAGGAAGAAACATTTTGGGTGCGTTCTGAGTCTCATACTTTTGCTTTTTACTTTCAGTATGTACTGCAGCTGCCCTTAAAAAGTATGTACTGTTGCATGCAGTATGCACACAAGCAGGACAAACTTCTTTCTCATTACATTACGCCCTGAACTTTGACCCTCTCGCTTTTATATCCATTACCATGGAGATAGAACAAAATGCCATTCTGCAAGCTCACCAGAGACTCAAGGTCAATGCGGAGAGCTCTGATATTATTTTACTGTAGATTCTAACATATTCATGATAGTAAAATTACAGAGGCTACACATTTCTCTGTCATTGTTATTAATACTTATGTCCTTTGTTGTTGGTCATATTTATTAGTATTTTATCCAATTAAACAGCTAATATTCATATAATTACTAATCGACTGGTTATCAGTCACCTAAATGCACTGTCATCCATCATTTTAACTTCTGACAATCGATGCGACGTATCTTTTGCTGTGCAGAGGATTGTGGGTCAGGAAGAATAACCAGAAAAGCCTGCTGGCTTGCATACTGCAAAATTTGACCTGATGTCATAGAACATCCTGGTATTTTTGCCATATTGCATTTGACATATTATGTTCTGGGTCATACTAAATCTTTTTCTGGCATACTATATGGTATGGTAGTATGGGTATTGAAGCGCACAGTTTATTTCTTTGTAGGGATCTTTTCCATAATGTTGTCATATGCTTATAATAACAGTCTGAGCCTGTCAGTGGCAGACACAAGCACTTTTTGTAGCAGTAAATTGACGGCACACAGTTACCTGTCGTGATTACATTCCAGCCTGTTACACTGCTGTTGCTGCAGTGGTCTCTTTCAATACTGAACCAGTTTCAAAAACTGTTGTCTCCATTAGTCACTAAGACACAAAAACATCAGGTAACAGGATCCGGGTTAAAAAATGGTTAAAAAGTTTCCATGAACTGAAGGTTTCTGGCTGTTAAAAATGGAGCAAGAACACAAGTCATTTATTGTTATGATAATAACTTGTCATTTGCACCCTGCATGTTCTGAAATGTAATTGCATCATAAATACACGCAGCACTCTGTTCTTCAAACATGGCTTAATTACCTCAGGCTAACCTGCTTATCCAGGTAAAATTATCCTCTTATTTTGAAATAAAGACGACCTCTAAATGAAATTAAACCTGTCATACTTTCTCATAAAGCAGATTCAACTTTAGATATTAATTGAATGAAATGAAATGTTACTTATGATTTCATACTAATTAAAACAGACTCAAACTGATCTGGAATTATTTAATCGTTTCAGTCCAATTACACAGATAGATGAGGCCACATTTCACATATTTTTGTGTTTACTCTACAAATCCCTTTCAAAATGGCATCACTGAATATTATGTTTCTGGTTGTATTCATCTAATAAGACAGAAATATGAAGTTTAATACTTCTTTTGCTCAGTTTTCCAAACTAAATTAGGATTTAATTGAACAGATTCCTATAGCTTTTTATCATTCTAGATATTTAACCATTAATTGTGAAAATTTAGGATTTTTCAATCATTTACATGCTCTCATCTAATATAATTATGTCATCGTGATTCTGCTGGTGCACATAATGAAAGGAGTAACTCATGTCTAAAACTGACTGTGTCTTGGTCATGATCCATAAACTGTGTGCAAGCTTGTACTTTTGCTGAAAGGAATAACTCAACCACAAAATGATCATTTGTATATCAATAACTCACCCTGTATTAAGCTGAATTTGTGAAGAAACCTCACATGCCTCCTGAGTGAATGAAGAATCCAAAAAAAGCAAACAGTTTTGATAAATTAAATTCATAGTGCTCTCTGGCTGCACCCAACTAAGAATTTTCCTAGTGGACCAA